CTCCCGCCCCCGCTCCCTCCCCCTCCTCGCGCACCTGCCCCCTAGCACACCTGTCCACTCCCGCTCCTGCCCCCTCCCTCCGGTCAGGCCGCGCTTCGGGGCGGGGCTTTGAGCGGCGGGGGCCGGACCGTGCCGGGTCCGAGTCTGAGGAAGCCGGAAACCTGTGTCCGGGAGCCACCCGGTCGACCCCGACTGCGGCCTGCGGCCTCCTTCCGTGCCTGGATTCTGCGCGTTCGTGCCCAGGCTCCGTGCGCGCCGTCCCAGCTGTGGCCCAGGGGTTGAGCTGCTCCCCGGGGCTGCAAGGAGGGAGCAGGCACTCACCGGTTCCCCCCCCACCACCACCCAGGGCGGCTGGGCCATGAGGACCGCACTCGTGTACCATGAGGAAATGACAGCCGCCCGGCTGCTCTGGGAAGAGTAAGTGTGAGCTGGTAGAGGGGGGAGGGTGGGGAGGGGGCTCTGGACGCTAAGCTCTGTGTCCACGCAGCCCTGAGTGTGAGATCGAGCGTCCCGAGCGCCTGACCGCAGCCCTTGAGCGCCTGCAGCAGGGGGGCCTGGAGCAGAGGTGTCTACAGTTGGCAGCTCGAGAGGCCTCAGAGGCAGAGCTGGGCCTGGTACACAGGTCAGATCCCGGGGAGCCACCTCCCAGAGGAGGCCGCCTGGCACGTGGGGCCGCCCAGCCTGCCCGCATCTTGAAAACAGAGCATCTCCCCTACCTGCCTCAGTTTCACCACTGGGTGGGTGGGGGAGGGAACCGTGAGGTGGGCGGTCCCACCAGCGCACGGCCCCTCCTTCTCCCCTTCCTGCTCCTGCTGGTGACCCTGCCTTGCCTGCCTGCCCCTCTGCAGCCCAGAGTATGTGTCCCTGTTGCGAGGAACCCAGGCCTTGGGCACGGAGGAACTACGGGCGCTGTCTGGGCAGTACGATGCTGTCTACTTCCACCCGGTGCGGCCCTGGGGACACCCCCCCCCCAACATGCACATCTGCATGCCCGTGCCCATTACATGGCTGCGGCTGCTGACCCTGGCCCATATGCCCTCCGTCACCAGCGTGCACATGCCCTGCATGCCCGACCAGCTGCTGCTGCTGGGACCTGCAGCCCGGCACAGGCCTGGGCAGAGCCCGAGCTGCAGGGCGGGGGGGGGGCTCATCTGCACCGCTGCCCCCGCAGAGTACCTTCCACTGTGCCCGGCTGGCCGCAGGCGCCGCGCTGCAGCTGGTGGATGCTGTGCTGACAGGAGCCGCGCACAATGGGCTTGCCCTGGTGAGGTGAGGGCTGTCCCCTTCTGGGCTGCCGCCAGCTGTGGGGAGCCCTGCGAGGGCACAGGATGACCCTGATGTGTCAGTTTTCACCCGCAGACCTCCGGGGCATCACAGCCAGAGGGCTGCTGCCAACGGGTTCTGCGTGTTCAACAATGTGGCCATAGCGGCCAAACACGCCCAGCAGAAACACGGTCTGCAAAGGTGTGTCCTGGGCTGTCCGTGCGCAGGGCCCAGGCCAGACGGAAAGCGGTGGAGTGGGCTGCTGGCAGACCCCATTCAGTCCTTCCCCTCTTGGGGTGGGCTCTGGCCCCCAGGTGGGAGGCCCTGCCCCTCAGTGACCTCTGCACTGCCTGTCCGCAGGATCCTCATTGTCGACTGGGATGTCCACCATGGTCAGGGCATCCAGTATATCTTTGAGGATGATCCCAGGTGAGCTGGGGTCACCAGCCTTCCCTGCGACCCCCTGCAGGGAGCCATGGGGCTGAGGGCCTGACCTTTGAGCTCCGATTTCTGACCTCGGCCGGTTGTCCGCAGTGTTCTTTACTTCTCCTGGCACCGCTATGAGCATGGTTGCTTTTGGCCTTATCTTCAAGAGTCAGATGCAGATGCTGTTGGGCTGGGGCAGGGCCGTGGCTTCACTGTCAACCTGCCCTGGAACCAGGTGCCCCCCCTCCCCCCACCCAGAGCCTCTCCCCCAGGCCTCACCCCTTGCCCCACAGCCCCAGGCCTCCTGAACGTAGTCCAGGGCATCCTTCCAGGGTCACCCCCAGAGCCTGGGCCCCAGGGGTGAAGACCCCAGCCCCCCCCCCCCACAGGGCCCAACTCTGATGCCCGGTGGCCACAGGTTGGGATGGGAAATGCTGACTATATGGCTGCCTTCCTGCATGTGCTGCTCCCTGTGGCGTTTGAGGTAACTGCATGGGGGGCAGGCGTGGTGTTGGTGGGAGGAGCGTGGGAGGGGGAGTCCGTGCCCAGAGGTGTCATCCCCCGCCCCCCTCC